GCATTCATTGAGATACAATTTCTCGAGATTTGTTGCATTTGAGAGATCAGGAATCTCTTTCAGAGACTTAGAGTAATTCAAATTCAACAGCTTGAGGCATTGGAGAGGCTATACAAAAAAAAGGAGTTTTAGAGAAATGACAAATCGCAATACAATACAAAGAAAAAAAAGATGAATATTTTTACCTTGATTCCCTCCCAAAGCTTCTCAAATTTGCTATGTTGCATGATTAGTTCGACAAGAAACTTGCCAGAGAACTTGGATGGCCAAAATCTCAATGGACAGAATTCCCAATCTATAAGTCTGAGTGTGTCGGGAAGACAGTTGAGGCCTTCTGGTATGCATAAGAAGTTCCAGTCTGTCCATGACAGTTTGAAAGGATGAATGTAGAGGCCCTGAGGTATGGGTACAATACTAGAGACTTTTAGAAATTGGAGATTATTCATTCCATCGAAAGCGCTTTTACTTATCTGGATTTCCTCACAAGTTTTCAACTTTATGCCTAGAACAGTTCCAGTACCCTAGAATAGATTATTCAAAAAGAACAAATCAATCTCAGCTTACAAACCCCCAAGGAAACAAAAGGAGACTGCAGATGTAAAAAATAAAGACTTACAGTATTTTGTTTAAGTACATCAGAAATCTCATTGATATCCCACAAGAACTGTCGCTTTCCAGGCTCCTTCAAAGACTCTTTCTTCACAATTTCTCTACCCATTTGTTCCACTAGAGGATGCATCTTTACCTTTATTCTGTATTCGTTCTCTATAGATATAAGAGATTTATCAGCTAAGACTTGAAGCCCATGGTTGACTTCCAACCCGCTTTTTTCAAGACAACTCTTAACATCATCAACCTCGGAATCTTCAAAGAAACATGCAATATGCAGGAAAAGAGCTTGATCTTTATCACTTAATCCGTCGTAGCTAAATTTTAGAGTTGATTCAATTTCTCTGTCAAGGCTAGACCTGAGCCTTGGTAGTGCATTTATCCAGTACTCCCTGGACATTCCTCGTAGATACGATCCCATGACTCTCAGGCCTAGAGGAAGATTACCAGCAAGCCAAGTAACTTCCCTAGCAAGCTCTTCAAAACCATCATATGGATATTTTTGTCCAAAAGCATATTGGCAGAAGATCTCAATAGCCTCATCATGAGTTGGAAATTTCATCTCGTGGATATGATTGATCCCCAATCTGAGCTGATTGAGAAGTTTTCTATCTTCAGTTGTAATGATAATACTACTTCCGGGACCAAACCATTCACGCTGGTTTGTCATTGCCTCTAGTTGCCACCAGCTATCCACTTCGTCAAGAACAACCAACACTTTTTTGCCACTCAACATTTGTTGAGCCACTCCTAAGTGACCAACCACAATATCCTTTTGATTGAGTAGTTGAGACAACATTTTTTTCTGCAAACGCAACTTCAACCCATAGTCGTTACCACGAGGCTTCTCATAATTTGCTTTGATATCCTCCAAAAACGTGCTGAAATGAAAACCAGAAGAGAGTTGGTTGTATAAAACTGTTGCAGTGGTCGTCTTACCAATCCCGGCAGGACCCAAAATCCCAATCACCTTAACATCTTCTTCTGATTGTAGGATCAACTTTGATTTTATCTCCGTGATTTGAGCTCCTATGCCAACAAAGTCATCAAAGTCTTTTGATGGTGTAAAACCCAACACATTCATAAGCTCTATGGCAATTTTGTTGATCAAATCAGCTTCGTTGTGCCTAGCATAAACAGAGGCTAACCATTAAAACAGTCATCATGAAAAGTAGCTACATATAACAAGAGTGAACGAACCATCTGCGAGAGTCATAACCAGCTATACTGGCCACATCCTCCAAAGCTTGCCTCCATGCCTGCTTCACCTCTTCGGTTTTCCTCACACAGGTTTGCTCAAAGGCTTTACCAAAATCTCCAGTCTGCTTCCTAACATCAGAGGGATCCACTTCGTAGAAAATAGATATCACTTTTTGTTGATCCCTCTCCATGATTTCCACCAACTCATCTTTCATTTTCAGGCCCTTCATGATTTCCACTAATTCATTCAAACACCAGCTTGAAGAAGCATAGTTACGGGAGAGCAAGACAATGGCCACCCTTGACTCTCTGATCGCTTTTACGAGCTCGGGACCGATAGGTTGGCCTCGATCAATCTCGTCATCGATGAAAGTTTGGATTCCCTTGTTTCTGAGCTCTTTCAGAAGGTGACTAAGAAAGGTTTTGCGCACGTCTCTTCCACAAAAGCTCGGGAAGACATCATGCGTCCAAGTGCGAGACAGAGAAGCCATGAGTAGAGGCACGCGATGAACTGAAGAACACGATCACAATGATTTAAGCAAAGAGAGAATTAACAACGATGACACAGAACCATATAAAAGTATCCAAAAGCAGAGATAAGACACAAGTGGAAAAGAAGTTTCAACGATGATACAGAACCACATAAAAGAGTCCAAAGACGAGTGGGAAGTAATATTCATGGAAGATTCAACGATGGTGACTTTAATAAATAGGTAATCCTCCAACTTTCCATTTATTACAAATTGATCTTAACCTTTTTCTTATCTCATTAGTCATTATGACATTTTCATACATTTCTTTAGCTTTTCCCATGCTTAGAAATTTAGAAATAGATAATATACATTCTAAATTTCTAAGCATGGGTGTAGTGTGTAATTTCTCCACTCCATCTCCTCCTCAACTGTCCCTTTGCAGCTCAAGTGTGGCAGGAGCTCCCGGCCCTTTTTAAGCCTCATGCTGATTCTATTAGTTCTCTGAGTGAGCTGTTTATTAGTAATACTAAAATGCTTAATCTTCCACTTACTGGGCTTGCTTCTTCTCCATTATATCCTTGGCTTTATTGGCATCTGTGGAAGAGTAGGAACACTTATCTCTTTGAGAATAAGTTGTGGACGGCATATGAAGTGGCAAGAAAGGTTCTTAAAGATGCTCAGTCTTGGGAGGAAGCCCACGTTTCTCGCCTCAAACAAGGTGCACAGCTTGGCCAGCCACCTTCCCTCCCCCTCTGTTCTCCTCACTTGACGGTAGGTTATCGCTGCCATACTGACGGTGCATGGGATCCCATCTCGAGAATAAGTGGACATGGTTGGGTTTTTCATGACCCTCGCTTGGTGTCTCTAGCAGACACTGCTCTTCTAACCGCTCTCATGTGTCATCTCCCCTGGTGGCGGAGGCACTCGCGGTAAAGGTTGCTCTCTTGGATGCAGTTGATAATGATTTCACTCAGTTGAACCTGTTCTCTGACTCGAAGACTCTTGTGCTTCTCCTTAACTCTTCGTCGCCCAACCTGTAGCTTCAGAGCTTGTTTTTCGACATTAGGATGTTGAGTAGTAGATTCGATGCTATCTCATTTTCTTTTATTCCTCGCTCTCAAAACAATGCTGCTGACTCTTTAGCTAAGTCAGCTCTCCGCTCGTTTGTAACGCCTCCCGTTAGGGAGTGACTCTATCTTTTATCTTAATGCAATGGTTTGTTCAAAAAAAAAAAGATATGTGCAGGGTTCAGGTTCTTGATTAAGTTTATTTAACACCAAACTTCTGGCTAATCTTGATATCATTATCTATGAACGTATGCGGAATAAACCAACGATGATGGAAAGTGTTCGCCCACAAGTACACAAAACAAATTGTGAGTGAAACAAAACAGATAGATTACGTTTGACAGACCACAAAGAAAAGAAAGCCCAGGAAAAGACTAAAGCTTTGGTAAATTAGAGATTAGATGTACTTTGGCTTTTGATAATCTTAGTTAAGAAGAACAGAGAGGTCATTGCTCTATTACATCTGGCGAGCTTACATATAAACCAACATCAACAAAAGCCTTGTAACTTATGTAAGACTCTGAGCTCACAAGCTACTCTACTCGACAGCAAAGCCTACTCTAAAGCAACAAATGAAGACACTTGAAATGACAATAGCACCCGTCTCCAGATGTTTGATCAATTACATCTTAACTATACTTAACAACAAGTAGCGACATTCTCATAAAACCTAACCATTGATCCAACTATGCAAATGCGATAAATCTCAGGACAATGAAAGAACTTACCAATCTATCTTATTTAATCAAAAACATTGGTTTAAACTTAACATTTATTTTGTAAGATTTTAAATTAAATACACATTCCTATGTTATAGTTAAACATATATTAAATCACTATTATTTCTTTCTTTATACTATTATCCATGTTTTCAAATAATATATTCATTTCTACTATACATGTTTCCAACAATATATTCATTTTTAGTATCTATTTTCCAAACGATATATTCTTTTATATTATCTATGTTTTCAAACAATATATCCTTTTTACTATCCATATTTTCCAAACAACATTATAATTGATTTTGTGTTCAAACAATAAAAAATAGCTCTCATCTTTTTAATGATCTCTAACAATTTTATTTCAAGTTATTTAGATAAATTAAACAATTTCAACATTTCAAATCATTTATAAAAAACGAAAATTACAGATTTAAATATTACATATCGGTTATCTATGGATTCAATTGGTTAGTCTCGAGTTTTAGTGTTTTTTTTAAATATATATATTTTAAAAAATCTAAATCAAATTATCAGATAACTGAATTAATCAGTTTAACCGCGGGTATGGGTCGAATTTAATAAAACTAATTTAAATGCAGAAATATTTTAAATATAATTTTTTAACAAAAATTAACAAAATATTTATTAAGTTATTAGTAAAAAATTCATCATAAAATAATTGGTGCTATATCAACCGTAATTTAAAATTTTCACTTCAAACAACATAAAGAGTTAGTGTTTTCACTGCACGGTTACATCTACATAATACATTGTTAGACTCTTAATACAAAAAAAAAACAGTATATAGAATATAGTGTTGGAATCTATAGAAAACTAAATTATATAGACTATATCCAAAAAAATAACTACCGCGCAACATTAAAACAAGTAAACACAGTAGAACATACGTTCTTGGAGGATATCCATTAACCAAATAAAGCACCGAAACTGAAAATGAAACTCTTAAGTGTCACAAGTCCATACTCATGATCACTCCGAATCGAAACAAAACTGAAAACAAAACCAAGATTAACGGTAACTCTTCTGGAACGAGAACGAGCACAACGACCACCAAACTTCTTAGGCTCAAACCTCCACGGATCCGCCACAAGAAGAGTCCTATCATAACGAATAAGAATATCCTTAACCTCCTTCTTCGTCTTCTCGTCCACGTACTTCTGGTAGAAAGCAACGAGAGCCTTGGTGATACTCTGACGTAGACCTAACAAGTGTGACCACCACCCTTGACACGGATCCTCATGTTCACACCTGCGAAACGGTGCTTCCCGAGGAGAAGGACTGGCTCGAAGATCTTGAATCTGAGAATCTCAGGCTGGAAAAGCTCGATTGGACAACCGTTGATCAGACCAGAGCCTCGTTTGCAGCGGGTCACAGCAACTGCTGTCTTCTTCCTTCCGAAGCATTGCACGGCTTCTTTAGCTGGTTTGGTCGCCATGGTTAGGGTTTGTGCTCTCCCCGCCGCAAAATTAAACCTAATACCCAGAGACTCGCCGAAGTGACTTTTTTTTTTTGTGCACAACCCGTTAATTGATTTCATTAGTCAAAAACCAGGGTCGGTTCAGTGACCTGGTTAAGAACAAAGTTTGACAGGGACTTTTTAGCTAGAGAGTCTTCAAAACAGAGAAGCTCACGGCGACAAAATCTAAACGAGAAAAATTCAAAGCATTTTGAAAGGAGATAGATATCAGAGAGTACTCCATGGGCTTCCGAAAAGCTTGATAAACCTCGTGCGTCAGGTCTTTAAAACGCTGCATTTTGAGAGAAGATAAAGTACTTGGTTAAGAGATGGGTTGAAGAAGAGTGTGGAAGCATGATTTGTCTATGCGTATAGAGCACTTGGGAGTTCAGCTTATAGGAGTTTTGAACACAGAAAAAAAACAGTGCTTAACAAATGTTTTTTTTTAACAGAAAACCAATGTTTAACAAAGCTTCAAAGCTGCTTTTTCATTGATGATGTATTTTTGTGAGCAACACTTATATTATTCTCTATTAAGCCATTTAGAAAGCCAAGAAGTAACAACAAACAGAAATATACGAAAATACACAAAGTAAATGATAGAAACTACTTTGTGATTAGCATTAAAAGATTCTTACATCAGTGGTGGCGCTGGGAGTCGTCTAGTAAGTAATTAAAATCATAAACAATTTTGCAATTAAAACAACAAACAAAGAAACAAGTTACATTCAGACCACCTTGAGTTATTTCATGCTCATGTACTCGAACACATACATCTTGAGAATTGAATAATATAGTATATAATCGAATAAAACTGAAAACCGGAGCTAGGGATTGCTCAAATTGAGTTTCCCACGTCATCATGTGTGTCTCATAGGGCAAGAGCAGAGCTAAGGTTCATAGGGTTCATATACTTGGTGGTACCGGTCAAGATACGACGGACTATCATCCGGTTTGCTTTCTCTGACGGATGAAACGCGTCCCAAAACACGTATAACTCACGGTTCGGACACAAATTCGATAGTACCGTACACAAACCCATCCCATTGTATGGTCCTTGTCCGCAACAAGCAACCTTCGACGTTATAAATCCTATATTAATCCACCGAACCAAAAAAAAAATTGTTATAATTAATAAATTATAGTCGAAAAAAGTCAATACTAATTGGAAGGTGAAAAAGCGATTAATTCAATTACCGAATCTTCGTGGACTGCTTATAAAATCAATTTGCATTTGGTTAGTGTTTGCTGCAATAAAAACAGTTTTCCCAATTTTCCTATTAAGATCATTTATCATTTGTGTTAGCTGAGGATCGTATAGAGACGCAGCTCGTTGTAACTCAGCCGAGCATCTCCCACTGGACGATCTCGCCAGCTCAGCCGGTGCACATCCTAGTGGTCCCGCTCCGGTCACTAGAACTCGACCAACTCCAAGCGAATGTAACCTCTAAAAATAACTCAAATTAAATAGTTAACTTGTAACCAAAAAGATTGTTAAGGTTGTTATTACCATTAGTATTTTCTTGTACTCGGAAACAAGTAACTTGACGTAATCAGGAAGAGAATATTGGCGCGATCTAGCGGAATATGGCACCAAGAAATAGTTGTTCACGAAGTCGTTGCCACCGACAGTGATTAGTACAAGCGATTTCCTCACGAGCCGTTGTGTTCGTGGTATCCCAATCAAGCGGCTCACACGTTGTTGGTATTGTTGGAAGTAGGCTAGTTGTTGGTACATTCTTATAATGTTTATCTGCATACCAAAACTCTTTTACCTAGAGAAAACCGGATGACTTGTGGTGATTTTAATTTATGGTTAGATCCGGTTTGGTTACTTACGAATTGAAATCCGGTATCGTTGAGAATACCAATGCCGGCTGACGCGAAATTGGCACCGTTAAGTAGTCTACGTCCCCTTAGCTCCGGACTAAGGTACGGTAACGGCGACTCTTCATTGCCGATTGCTTCACCTAACCAATACTAACCAACTGATTAAAACATCTACCGAAGATTCTAATAAATACATACTCAATGGTGTCGGCTGACGCGAAATTGGCACCACTGAGTATATTTTTGTGATTATTTTTTTCATAATTTTAAACCAATAAAAATTCAATAAGTGCAATTAAACTTTTTAAAATTTGCATTTAGTTATTATTAACTGATAAAATATGCATTGAAAATACAAAATAAAAATATTTTTTAAAAAAATATTTTTTCTGGAATATGTAACTTAATGAAAGAGAGGGAATATAGAATGTAGTCGTCTTTTTCTATATAATTTCTCATGCATTATATTATTACTCTAAACCGGTTAATGAGATTAGTAAGCAAACGTAACTGATGAGATCTGGAATGTTAAGACCGTTGGAAAACCGGCCGGTTGGTCTCCGAGTTGGAAAATCAAGCCCATACGGTGGAGAATCGGCCCGTGCAGTCGTGACCAGATAGTTGTTGTTGCCACTGTCGACGAGCGAGTCGCCGAACACGAAAAAGGCACGTGCAGCTTCAGCTATGATAGGACCCGACACAACCAATGCTAGGAACATAGTCACGTTTGCTAGAATCAACACTGATTCCGATCTTTTAGTTGAGATCGCCATGACCGTGGGTTTGTTTATGTTCTTCAATTTGAAAATGACTTCATGAGAAAATGAAGAGTTGAATTTATATTGTTAGATTTTTTTGGTTTTAACTTTTCATGTGATTTATTGAACTGAATTTAATCCCGTGTTAGGCCAGCCAGAAGTATGTACTTCTAATTGTTTTAGTTTATTTACAGTCCCACTACTAAAAGAATAAGACCATATGATAGTATTACCAAAATGTTTTGTGGTCCATGAGAATAGCAATGTTGTACATCTATATATAGTATTACCATACATAAGTTGGATCCTTTTTCTGCTATTGTTTTTCACTGACTATTACCATTTTAAAAGATTATTTGGTTTCTACAATTTATTGTATTTCATAGATAAAAATAACGACTACTCAAAAACTGGTGGTTGAATCTCATATTTACCAATACATTCTGTATTTCCTTGTGGATATTTTAAATGCCACACCTATATCCACCTCAAAGTTTCACAAGAAGTAGGGAACAAAAGCGATGAGACACAAAACCACAGTTTTATTGTTAACAAGAATTCACAAGAGGCTTGTGTATGCCAGCTTATGAAGAACAACCATAACTGCCCTTTAACCAGAAACTTAGTCATTTAATTAGATAAAAGACCTTCACAACCAAAAAAAATTGATATAAGATTCTAGTGTTACAAAAAAAAAATATCCTACTGTTCTGAAGCTCTGAGTGAACATAAAAAAAGTTCTTTTTGATTGAATTAATTTAACATTGTTTTGAAAAAAAATTAAAAGAAAAGCAAATAATTTACAATAGTTTGTGGAAGATAAATTATAAAGGACAAGTCTCTCAAATAGAATTTTTAAAATTTTTATCAAAAAATAGACCTTAAAACTAAAATTACCGAAATAATATTTTTTATTTTGAAAATTTAGGTTTTTTTATTTTTTAAAATTTGAAATCCTAAACTCCGCTTCTCAACTCTAAACAAAATAAAATCTATATTAACCCAAAAGGTATAAATATATATTTATTTTTGATAAATTATTAATTTATTTTGATCATTTTTATTTTTAAGGTCTTTGCGACAAATTTTTTCAAAAAAAAAAGTAGGGAATTTCTCAATATAGTTGTTGGGTTTCATTGAGTTTAATAAATAGGGCCAAGAGATGTAGCACCATAACCCAGGCCAATAGCCCATTTGACATTCTCTATATATCCAAGACCAACAGCCACGTGGACAATCAGTTTGACTTCAGTCAAACTACATCATCTGTTCTTTCTTGTCCGTTGCTTGCGGTCCAACTAATTACGTTTCTTTCTTCTTCCCTCACACTCCGACAGAGTCGTGTGACTCGCCGTAGCTTTGCGCCACCGTTGACCAGATTTTACTTGTTGTGACTCCCCCATCGTCACGATTTTCCACTTAGTAGAGATTTAAGCTAAAAGTTACCGGTTTTCATACCGTAAAACCCTAAACCCTAGCAGAGCTAGATCGTTCACTACAGCCTCAAGCTCGCCCTCAGCGACATCGACGACAAAAACAACGGGTATATGTCTACTCTCTTTCACGTGTTCAAAAAAAATGTCTCTTTCACCATCCAAAAAAGCAACGACTTCGTACTGATATCTCTGTTTTCTTTTTGTCTGTGCAGAACTCAAGCAGATCATGCAAAGAAAATTTTTGGTTTTATAATAGAGAATCTTTGTTTCAGATCTATATTTTACAAATCGTATACTGAAACTCATAACATGCTCAAACCTATTTATACACAGAACTACGTGCAAGAATCGAATAAAACATGACGACTAATGTGTATATATATATGTGTGTAACAAATTAATTAATTTCTTATATCGAACTAAAGAGATATCTATGATAAATAATAACAATGATAGTGTAAATAAAACCCACTCTTCAGAACCAATTCCATGGATGTTGAAACTCATCACAACACCAATTCTTGAAATCTCCATTTTGCCCTATCAACAAACCCAAATCATCAATCTCCAAAAGGTCATCCGTCTCCAAATACCCTGTCCCCTCCTCCACCTCCGGCCTATGCATCACTTCTCCGTCGCCACCGCAACTAGGGACCAAGATACTCTCCTTATTGTCTGATGAGCCACACGATGATGACACATCATATCCCATCTTCTTTTCTTGACCCACAAGAAACCTAGAGCAAACACCATTTGATAATCCATAATCAGGAGTTTTCACCAAGCTCTTCGGTTTCAAGCCACTCGCAGCATTAACGCTTTCTTGCTCTTGTAAATCACTTCGTTTTGGTAATAACCAAGAAACGCTAGACTCACTTGTAGTTTTATCATCATCTTGTATAAAACTAAAACCCCCTGACCACGAACTGCGAGACCCACTTGATGGGCCGAGACCAAGATCAAACCCACGAGCCGTGTTACAAGCCCAAGAACCAGACCCGTGGTCGGAGAAAGACAAGTTCCTATTTACTTGTTGTTGCTTTTGTTGTTGTGGGTGCAACAAGTTGAGTTTAGCCTCGTGTCCGTAAAGCTTCTTAGCGGCTTCATCGTAAGCCATGGCGGCTTCTACCGAAGTATTGAAAGTACCGAGCCAGAGACGAGTGCCATGGTTAGGCTCACGAATCTCAGCGACCCACTTACCCCAAGTACGTTGCCTAACTCCGCGGAAAGTACACGTTGCATTGTCTGGACCACCTTTACCTTTCATACAACCTTTTCTTGATCTTCCCATGTTTCGTTTCTTGGCCGGAGGCTGCTCTGCTTCCATGGTGTGTGTTGTTTGAGAGTTGGATACTTTTAGTTACACTCTAAATTAGTAAAGAGTGTATATATATAGACTAAAATGAAAATTGAAGAGTACGTTTATATACATTTCATGGACACGTCATGAGTATACGTATTCTTTCGTGGCATGTGCATGAGTGTCGACGTGTGTATATTATGTATGCTAAGGAATCTCAGTTTTGTTTATTTAATGTCTCTGTGTCACACGGAAGCGACTCCTAGACCACTGTTTTGGGATAGGTTTTAACTGTTTAGATAAAACTAAACAGAAAACAAGGACAGAGCATACATAACCTCTATACGTACGTACATGGGCGAAAATGGAATATGTCATACTTGTATGTCACGTGTTGAAATAGAGGAAGTCCTGGCAAACGAGTATGAACACATGGCTCAACCATTCCTTATGTGCTTCGGCTCGAAGTACCTATTTTTCTACCACTACTTATTAAATCATCTATTCTTTTCTTTTTACACTTATTAAGTCTTCTATTTCCCTATAAAAAACATCGATATATTAACTTTTCTTGAAATACTCCCTCGATTTTGCTACATGATTATGAAAAAGATACATTCTATAATTGGCTTACTTTGGTGTTTGTGTTGATATGACTATGGCCTTTCGCAGAAAATGTTTATAGTTTATTATACATTGAAAAACTTTAATTTTCATTTAAATTACGAACTCTAAGGCTTTGTAGCTTTTTACTTTGGATGTTAAACAAGCAATGTAGTCTTATTTCTGTAGTTGGTGTTAGAGTTAAAGAACTGATCTGTCTTTATATTTAAAGTGACGTAGACATAAGGATTGGATCGGATCGGTTGAATTACCAACTTGCCTAACATATTATAGAAACATGCATTTAATTGGGAAAATCGGTCACATTTTAACTGTGAATTCGTTGTCAGTACAAATCTCATCGTAATTTTACCAAAAAAACGAATGAGAAAGTAAAAGAACCTAATAAGAGGTAAGTGTGGGGATGACCTGATGAGTGTCACTCTTACATCGTTGGAAGTGCGAAACTTGTTTTGCTTATACTCCCCTACTTCTTGGAAGTTGGAACTGATAAACTCGAATAGAAACGAAAAACTTAATATTCAGAAAGAGTCACGTTTACAAAAATTAGTATATTTATCACATTTGAATCCATATGGACTGGACTCATTGATTCCAAATTACACTTTATTTTTCTGCTTCTATCGAAAACAAGATAAGATATTATCAACATATAAAACAAAGATTATATTTACTAGTATTTATCATACCTATATTTGATACCATACTGCTGAAAAGATATTAAAAATAAATTGTGACTTATTTATAAAATATGAGATTTTATATTCTACAATCCAACTTTTACCATTATTTTAAATGTAATGAAATATATTCCATCAATTAAAAAGACAAAATGTGAATAAAAATACTCTATAATATAAATTTGATGAACAATGAGACGAATAAATTTATTCTATTTTCCTCTGTATTTCATTTATATTATTTCATCAACTTTAAGTTATTTAACAGTCACGGGTTTAATAATCTTCGGTAAAATGCATATTCATGTGAATGATATAAAATATAACTATATTCATATGCATGTAAATTAAGGTTAGTCTGTACCACTTGCTCCACAAGCTGGATGAAAATCAGTTACCCAGTTTACATAATTAAGTTTTTTTCTGGATTTTTGGGCGATCAATTTAAAAGGTTATAATTTTTCTAACATGATCTCTTTTTTGTGTCAACCCAATCTAACACAATCTAACATGATCCTTAACCAAACAGATCAGTGCAACTTGAATTTGATAATATTTTCCTACCGAGTTTGGGTTAAACTAGAACCGAATTGACTCAGTTGAGATACCTATAAATTTGACTAGATCTGTCATGGACCACTATAATAAAACCACTGTGTGACTTTCAGTATTGACGTCGACCTTCTACATATATAGAATATAATATTGTATAACGATTATACACATCAAAATTAATTTAACACGATGTTGCTTTGGACTAAAATGGGTATTAGATTAAATCATATATAGTTTGGTCAATGAGATAAAATACTACTTAAGTTGCACAAAACCAAAAGGGAATATAATTAGGTTTTAGCAAAATGACAAAAGTTGATTGATTATTATCACTATGAACTTCAGTTGGTATGTTCATATTTATCTGTTGAAACTGGTTCAGACATCGCATCCAGAGTGTGTATTTATACTTTATAGGCATATACTCATAGTAAACTTAGGTGTATGCACGCAATTAAAAGACGCCACGTGGGACAAAGTACCAACTGTAGATGATGCTTGTACCTAAAAAGGCTGGATCGATTGAGAGACCCTCAAGCAAAGATATTGAAAAGGTCCTCCATAAACTTTACTGAATATAAAACTTTCAAACTGATGATTAGCCTATTATCATAATCATGTGATTAATCTGGATCTGTCTCGTGCATTTCCACTAGAACTTTAATTACTAGATCTTTGCAACAGAAGCAATGTGAATATTTTATTTATAAGAATTCAAAGTAAGTTTTGTTTAACAGATGTGTCTGTAAACTATTGGACACACACACACTATCCAGATTTCATATAGAACTGCTAGTTAATATGTCTACATATGAAAACGAAACTCAACCATATTAAAAAAACATTCTACTTTGTCTCGCTGGTATCTATAGTTCTAAACCAAATTAAACCAAAACAAAATTTTCATTTACCACAATATATATAGGTAATATTTTATTTATGCATACACGAGTTACAGAATATGGCGTATATTCTATATTTTGCATATACTATTGTGTTTGGCTAAATATCTTTACTAATAAAGTTAAGTTTTTTTCTCTCCTTAGGGGGAAAAATGCCATGTGTCACTTTAATTTAATGATTTTTAAATTTATTATATTTAACATATTTTAGTTATTTAATGAACCAATAAATGCTAATGAAAATTTAAAACATTAATCAAAAATAAAATTGTTTATTTCATTTGTATTGTTTTAGTTTTCTATTTTAAAGAAAATTTAAAAATAATTTTAATATATATATAGTTATTTATGAATATATGGTATCAAATTAATGTGAATTTGTTTTCAATGTACTTATATTTAGTTTATTATTTATTAATGTTATATATACATTTTTATATAGTAAAATAGATTTTTTTTCTCCATAGAGGTGAAAAAATGTCATGTGTCATTTTCATTTAATGATTTTTTATATATTTAACATATTTTAGTTTATTTAATGAACCAATAAATGCTAAGGAAAATTTAAGCATTATTTAAAAATAAAGCTTTTATTTCATTAGTATTGTTTTAGTTTTCTATTTTTCTTTACTAATAAAGTTAAGTTTTTTTCTCTCCTTGGGGGGAAAAAATGCCATGTGTCACTTTAATTTAGTGATTTTTAAATTTATTATATTTAACATATTTTGGTTATTTAATGAACCAATAAATGCTAATGAAAATTTAAAACATTAATTAAAAATAAAATTGTTTATTTCATTTGTATTGTTTTAGTTTTCGATTGTAAAGAAAATTTAAAAATAATTTTAATATATATATAGTTATTTATGAATATATGGTATCAAGTTAATGTGAATTTGTTTTCAATGTACTTATATTTAGTTTATTCTTTATTAATGTTATATATACATTTTTATATAGTAAAATAGAATTTTTTTTCTCCATAGAGTCGAAAAAAATGTCATGTGTCATTTTAATTTAATGATTTTTTTTATATATTTAACATATTTTAGTTTATTTAATGAACCAATAAATGCTAAGGAAAATTTAAACATTAATTAAAAATAAAGCTTTTATTTCATTAGTATTGTTTTAGTTTTCAATTTTAAAGAAATTTACAAATAATTTTAATATATATATTTATTTATGAACATATATGATATATAAGTTAATGTGAATTTGTTTTCAATGTACTTATATTTAGTTTATTTTTATTAATGTTATATACACATTTATATTGTAATGGCGATATATGATTTATTAATTATAAAATAGTTCAATTTCTTTACTAATAAAGTTAAGTTTTTTTCTCTCCTTAGGGGGAAAAATGCCATGTGTCACTTTAATTTAATGATTTTTAAATTTATTATATTTAACATATTTTGGTTATTTAATGAACCAATAAATGCTAATGAAAATTTAAAACATTAATTAAAAATAAAATTATTTATTTCATTTGTATTGTTTTAGTTTTCTATTTTAAAGAAAATTTAAAAATAATTTTAACATATATATAGTTATTTATGAATATATGGTATCAAGTTAATGTGAATTTGTTTTCAATGTATTTATATTTAATTTATTCTTTATTAATGTTATATATACATTTTTATATAGTAAAATAGATTTTTTTCTCCATAGAGACGAAAAAATATCATGTGTCATTTTCATTTAATGATTTTTTAATATATTTAACATATTTTAGTTTATTAAATGAACCAATAAATGCTAAGGAAAATTTAAACATGAATTAAAAATAAAGTTTTTATTTCATTAGTATTGTTTTAGTTTTCAATTTTAAAGAAATTTACAAATAATTTTAATATTTATTTATTTATGAACATATATGATATATAAGTTAATGTGAATTTGTTTTCAATGTACTTATATTTAGTTTATTTTTATTAATGTTATATACACATTTATATTGTAATGGCGATATATGATTTATCAATTATAAAATATTTCAATTTTTTTAATAAAGTTAAGTTTTTTTCTCTCTTTGGGAGGAAAAATGCCATGTATCACTTTAATTTAATTATTTTTAAATTTATTATATTTAACATATTTTGGTTATTTAATGGACCAATAAATGCTAATCAAAATTTAAAACATTAATTAAAAATAAAATTATTTATTTCATTTGTATTATTTTAGTTTTCTATTTTTAAAGAAAATTTAAAAATAATTTTAATATATATAGTTATTTATGAATATATGGTATCAAGTTAATGTGAATTTGTTTTCAATGTACTTATATTTAGTTTATTCTTTATTAATGTTATATATACATTTTTATATAGTAAAATAGATTTTTTTTCTCCATAGAGGCGAAAAAATGTCATGTGTCATTTTCATTTAATGATTTTTTTTTAATATATTTAACATATTTTAGTTTATTTAATGAACCAATAAATTCTAAGAAAAATTTAAACATTAATTAAAAATAAAGCTTTTATTTCATTAGTATTGTTTTAGTTTTCTATTTTAAAGAAAATTTACAAATAATTTTAATATATATATTTATTTATGAACATATATGATATATAAGTTAATGTGAATTTGTTTTCAATGTACTTATATTTAGTTTATTTTATTAATGTTATATACACATTTTTACTGTAATGGCGATATATGATTTATTAATTATAAAATATTTCAATTTTTTTGCTAAAATAAATATTTACACATCTCTTATATAATAAAGTAAAATTTTTCCTCTCTACAACAAAAAATGACATTTATCATTCTATCATTTGTCGAAAGTGTTTTAGTCCAATTATAAAAATCTTTTATTTTAATTGAATTTTTCTTGATTTTTGCAAATGATGTGATTTTAAATAAATATTTTTAGTCAAATAAATTAAACAAAAATAACTTTATCATTTTCAACATATTCTTCAAGATGGATGACAACTCTCATATCTCTAGATATTTAAATTAAGTTTTATAATCTAAACTTTTATTTCATATAGTTTCTAAGTCATATATATGGAAATACAATCAATAACATCGATTTTATTATAAACGTCTCTCACAAATGTTCAATGGATGATGTAATACATAGATGTTATTACAAATTTACTATAAGATTTGTTAAATTAAGATTAACGAACTAAAGGTTAATTAACAAAAAAAAAAGGAAACCAAAGGTTAAAAAAATATTAGTTTATAAGAACATTATTATATTTAGTTTACTTTTCTTCACAATAGATTATACGAATGTCTATGGTTTGTTCTATGCTTTTAAACAACTAAAAATTAAATAAAATGGAACTATCAAGTTTATATGTGTATCTATTTTTCAAAACAAAAATATAAAAATTTGAAATTGTCTATCAAGGTTTGTTCGATTTTTTTTGGTGTAACGGTTGGATGTAATTTCGGGGTTTTCGGTTCGTGTTGAGGCTGAGACTTCGGATTAGGTTAAAAATGTCGAGACCCAATCAAAGATATGAAGATAACTAAATATTTAGAGATGATACAAAGATAATTATACACATGATGACTTATTAACTATCTAGGAAAAAGTATTGTTTAATTTTAATATAGATGTTACTCTTTTTATATTTAATTAACAATTATGTTCATATCGTTATCAATATTTCAGTTATCTTAGATACTATAGAATAATATTCTGATAAAAATGTTTATGAACCGCAAAACCATTTTAAAGTTAGAAAATCCGGCGCGTAGCGCCGGTAACCACTAGTTAATTTATAATTTTAAGAAAAGAAAAGAGTGACAGATGAAAACATTGAAGGAGTGTCATAAAAGGGAAGGAAGGTTTAGTTAGTTGGGTAGGTCTCTCTGTTGAATTAATAGTGCTCATTTGCTTCTCTTCATTTATTTCTCTTTATCAATAGTATTGCTTTACTCTCTCACAAACACATGTACAAAATGAACATTTTCTTCTTTTTTTGTTTCTTTATTAATAAGAAAGAAAAGACAATAGCTAAATCTGTCTATATATAAAAATGAAACCGATGCAGAGCAATGATGAATCTTGATTTGATCTTCTCCTCGAAAACCTCATTGCTTTCGCTTCTTCCCTACCATTTCCATATTTACACTTCATAATATCTCTTCACCCACTTCTCTTCTTCCCCATTTATAACAACACAAACACACATTTAAATACACATACTTAACATTTATATAGTTTGGAGCAGCTGTTGTAAACCTCTTTCCATTTTCTTGAGATGGTCCTCCTCTCATCTTAACTTTATAAGAATCTGTCCTCCTTCAAGTTTCCGAGTTCTTCATTTTCCATTCTCCGGACACTGAATGTGATACATACAAAGATTGATTAATGGAGGTTATTTCATCCAAGAGAAGTGTTCTTCTAATCTTTCTTGTTTTTGTAAGTCTCTTGAGCAAAAACGTGACGTATGTCTCTGCCGTTAACTACACCAAACCATATAGACAAGTCAGTAGTTTGAGAGTCGAGAGGATCCATAAGCACTTGAACAGGATCAACAAGCCTCCTGTCTTCACCATCCAGGTATATATATGTTCACATGTTTCCAATGCATCGGTTGATTTGTATAATTTATATGTGAAATATTAACCCTTTTTGTTGTTGTAAAATAACAATTTTTAGAGTCCAGATGGTGATGTAATAGATTGTGTACCCAGGAGAAAACAGCCAGCTCTGGATCATCCTCTCTTAAAGCATCACAAGATTCAGGTGATTCTGATTTCTCTGGCTACGCAACTAGAAAAAATTACTTTTTCATATATTTATTATGAACATCACAAAATTACTTATAAGTTAATATGGAGATAAATTTACCAATCTTCGGTTTCGGTAAAAATCAAATTTGATTTAGAGAAAATTCAAGAAATTTTTGCAAAAGAAGTTATGTGACAAGTAGTACAAGCATATCGCTTTTTGTGTATTTTTATTTTCTTAATGCTACAAATTAACTCGGTTGATGATGGTATCATAGTAATAAGCCTTTCTTTCTAATGAGAACTTAAAAATGAGAAACAACGCAGAAAGCACCGAGGACAATGCCGAAGATGATGGGAAAAGAGAGAAGCGATGATGTTAAAGAAGAAGTAGCGAGTGTACTGGAAGGTGCATGGCAAATGTGGCACGTGAACGGCACGAGGTGTCCCAAGGGAACTGTTCCCATACGACGCAACACAATGGACGATGTGCTCAGAGCCAAGTCTATCTTTGACTTTGGGAAAAAGAGACGTAGTATTCGCCTTGATCAACGGACAGAAAAGCCTGATGCCCTTGGAACTAATGGACATGAGGTACACTAGATCATATAATCTCTCTTCTCACTCCCTTGGATCCAACAATATTTTCGGTTTGATGGAATGGAACATTTACTTAATACTACTACTATATAATCAAATTGATAAAATATTTTGCGTGAAAATGAGTATTTTTAGACTATACGATAGCAATGTTAATGACTTTATGTGAATTGTCTGTGTAATCATTTAATTATGGACCCATATGACAGCTTCCATTGTCAGTCTCATTAATCAAAGTTATAAAACTAAAATACACAAAACATAAGCATTCAATGGATTTTAAGATCCGGTCTCGTTATAATAACTTTTGAATGATCCAACTATAAAAGAATATGTAAACGCACGGTTTTTCATTACCATACGTTGGGATTGTAAATACGATTTTAGAAGTTAAATATTAGTAGTACTAAAGTTTACGTTAATGGTGGGGGGAATGGTAGCATGCAATCGCGTATACGGAAACATCGTCGGAGATATACGGAGCAAAAGCTACTATAAACGTGTGGGACCCAAAGATTGAACAAGTGAATGAGTTCAGTCTCTCACAGATTTGGATTCTGTCGGGTTCTTTCGTTGGTCCTGATCTCAATAGCATTGAAGCTGGCTGGCAGGTACTGTTTTTTTTTACTACTATAACATTTCATGATATCTTTAATTTACTTAATGACTATGTAATATATGTCTAAAGCTTTGATTGTTATACTAGTCAGGTCAGTCCGGAGCTGTATGGTGACAACAGACCAAGATTGTTCACTTATTGGACGGTATGTTGTTGTTTTCTATTTTTTTACTCTCTTATGTTTTGATACAACATATAATCTGGTTGCATTTTCATATCAGTTTGCTTAAATCAAGAGTCTAAATACTTAGGTGTTTGTATACTGAATATCCTTGAGAATTGATTTTAGTTAATGTAATTCTTTTTAGGACATTCATGTGACAGTAGAGTAGTTTCCATTTGTAGTTCAGTGTCTAGTTATGGTATATAGTAGATTGTATTTTCAAAACAACCATATATTGCGTTGAAGGCACACTTCCAATGTAGTACTTTATCTTTTGTATATTTACAGTTCCCTTTTCTGAAATAGTTATCATCTAGAAAGTCAGGACACTGTGCATGAAGACTTACTATGATAGGGTGAATTGGAAGTGTAAATTACGCCAAAAATGACAGTTGAAAGTAAATTTTATTTGTAACATTAATTCTTACAGGTACTTTTAGTGTGTAGTATTGATCATTTTGAAGTTAATGGTGGTAGAGCAGAGTCATGATGATAATGTTTGGTGAAGAGCATTTATTACTGCATTAATAGCTTATTATTAATTTGATTGATATATTCAAGTCCAATTTCTGTACTAGTCTCCAAATCATTAAATCTGGATGAACAAATTGGTATATGATCATTGCTTGGGCAATAACTTGATTAAGCATTTTGTTTCATTTAAGCATAATTAATTATCTTAAAACCAATGATGGTTTTTGTATTGTTTTAGAGTGATTCATATCAAGCAACAGGATGTTACAATCTTCTATGCTCTGGGTTTATCCAAACAAATAACAAGATTGCCATTGGAGCCGCCATTTCTCCCCTCTCTAATTTCAACGCAAACCAATTTGATATCACCATTCTCATTTGGAAGGTTCATCTCTATTTATTTATATTCTATAGTCACTTATATATATATGCACGTAAACCATAACAAATTAATGGAGATATACCAAAAAAGATGCTTAAATGAAACTATTCGATTGCATGCATGCAGGATCCAAAAATGGGAAACTGGTGGATGGGTTTAGGAGACAAGACACTGGTCGGGTATTGGCCAGCAGAGTTATTCACCCACTTAGCCGACCATGCAACCACTGTGGAATGGGGAGGTGAGGTTGTGAACACACGTGCTTCAGGCAGGCACACGACAACACAAATGGGTTCTGGTCATTTTCCGGACGAAGGATTTGGGAAGGCTAGTTACTTCAGGAACTTGGAGATAGTTGATTCAGACAACAGTCTCGTACCGGTGCATGATGTCAAGATATTAGCCGAGAACACAGAGTGTTACGATATTAAGAGTTCGTATAGTAATGAGTGGGGAACTTATTTTTACTACGGTGGTCCCGGGTTTAACCCTAAGTGTGCTTGAAAAAACAAGTGTACATAGTTCGATTATGTGATTTTGTTTTTATTAGTAGTGAAAATTGAATATTTGCTTATTGTTTTATCAAACCTAATAATTTATTATTGCATTCATAGAGAAAATGGAACACATATAATATGAGACTTCAAACTTTATATACACGTTGGAAATTATAAGAAGACTTGGAAAATTATTTCATCAAGTCGTTGATGCTTGGAACTAGTAATTAAGTATGGTCCTCACACATCATCCACTTGCATATAGCAGAAGACCCTACTACACGTTTCTACTTTCTACACCAATTAAAGTTTGTCTGTTCAATAACCCATGGTTACCGCAAACCTTGATTAACCATTGTAGGACCAAATACATCCCAGTCTTTGGTCTGAGTTTGAACCTTCTGTCTCTGAAAGAGACTCAAGTGAAATACTAGGAAATAAATTTCTTAGGTAGTCTCCATCATGTTCTTTCAAGAATGTAGACTTTGCTATGTTACAAGCATAGACCAAAGACTGTTATACATTACCTATTCAAAGTTTTACAAGTCATAGAAACAGTTGGGAGTTAAGAGGAGCAAAAGGTGCTATATATATCCCTCAAGTGAGAGCCTAAAGTGAGACAAACAGTTTGGAACAAATCAAACATATAATGGCTCTTTCACTCACTCTTGTTCCTCTCATTCTCATACCGATGTTTCTCGGGTCAGTTACTGCCTTATCACAACACATAACCGATACGTTGAAGCCGGGGCAGCAGCTCAGAGACTGGGAGCAGTTGATCTCCTCGGGTGGCGTCTTCACTCTCGGGTTCTTTACACCAATAGAGTCATTTACGTTCTTACTTGGTTCAGCTGGTGTTAGGTATATTGGTATCTGGTATCAATCTGGTCCAATAAATCCAGTTTGGGTGGGTAACCCAACCGAATCAGTCTCTGATTCATCCGGCTCTCTATCCATTGATACTAATGGGAATCTCAAGATCACAAGAGCAAACGCTTCTCCAATCATGGTGAACCAACACCTTTCCTTGGCTGGAAATGTCTCTGCCACTTTACTCGATTCAGGAAACTTTGTGATCCGAGATATCGGACCAGGCGGAGTCCCGGGTCGGGTTATATGGCAAAGCTTTGACCATCCTACCAATATGCTACTCCCCGGGATGAAGATAGGGTTTAACCTAAAAACCAAGAAAGATGTTTCGGTTACTTCTTGGATAAGTAGCCAAGTTCCAGCCTCAGGAGCATTCAGACTAGGGCTAGACCCATCAGGAGCCAACCAGCTACTCGTCTGGCGCCATGATGAAATCTACTGGTCCAGTGGAGTTTTAACGAACAACGGAAGCTCTCAACTAACTTTAGAGCTGTCCAGAGAATACCTTGATTATGAATTCAAGTTTGGTTCAGACAAGTACATGAAGTACTTCAGCTACTCACTCAAGAAAACTAATGCTTCTGTCTTTTCCAGCTGGTTACTGGATAATTTAGGCCAAATCACTGTTACCAACGTCCTCAGGAGCAACACAAGCAACAGGTGGATTTCTGAAAGCAGCCTACCCTGCACGACGGATTTAAAGAACAGTTCAGCGGTCTGCATCACGGAGAAGCCAACGGCATGTAGGAAAGGGTCTGAGTATTTCGAACCGAGAAGAGGATACATGACGGGTAATGGTTATTATGGAGATAGTTTAAGCCTTGGCCTTAGTGACTGCCATGGAAGCTGCTGGAGAAACTGTTCTTGCATAGCTTTCCAAAGCTTTTCTGATGGACAATGTCAGTATTGGGGAAAAGGATCAACGTTTTTTCCTTATGATAGCTTCACCTTCGAACAAAAAATCTATGTTCTCGATTCTGTGAAGTGATGTGTTGTTGTAAACCAGACTAATATCAATAAAGGGTTTTAAATTATGAAGAAACTAAAGAATCAAGTAGTTCAAAGACATGCAATAACTTCCTCTCTTTGCATATTGATTCCACCACAGCTCTCCAAGACTCAGGCTCTGGTTTAAAACCCATTCCCATAAATCCTATCAGAACTCGAACCCCGGTTTCTGCTTTCCCTGATCCGCAAAGCCTAACCACTAACTCGTTCCAAGTGGCATGGTGTGGCCAAACCCCTTTCTTTGACATCAAACTAAGAAACTCTACAGCTTTTTCAAGCTCACTATTCTTGCACAACGCATTTAGTATGATCCTATAACTACCTTTGTTCAGATGACCACCTTCACATCCCCATTGACCTAACATCTCAAGAGCTTCTTCTGTTCTTCCTTGGCCGCACAAACCCCTCAGAATCACATTGTAAGTTAATGCATCCGCTCTGCATCCAGATGATTTCATCTCTTCCAATAACTCCATAGCCTCATCAACTTGATCATTCCTACAAAAGCAGTTCATCAGAGTTGTATAACCAACCGTGTCTAGTTTCAAACCAGTTTCCTTAACCTCATCAAAGACTTCCTTAGCTTCCTGAACCTTCCCCTCTTTACAAAACCCATTCATCAAAGCAGAGTAATTATACACATTCGGATTACATCCATTCTTCTTCATAAACTCTATAATCATCTTACCTCTCTCAACCTCCCCAACACGACAGAACCCATTAATCATAACATTGAAAACAACAGGATCCGGAGAGATCCCTTCTTTAGAGATCATATCCTCAAACAACTCCATAGCCTCTTTAGACCTAGACTGAGCAAACAAACACTCCATCAACGTCGAGTAAGTAATCAAATTCGGATACGAAACTCCCGCCCTTTTCATCTCCTCCACAACCCTAAACGCAGAATCTACATCCTTATTCTTGCAATGATGCTTCACAAGAATATTGAAAATGCAAGTATTCGGCTGCAACCCAAGATTCTCTTTACCATACAACAACAGCTTCTTAGCTAAATCAACTTCCTTTGAATCAACAAGTAGGTTAAGACACGTGCTAACAGCGTTGAGAGAGGGTTTCACACGTGCAATCACTTGGATCAAACCAAACATCTCAATCACTCTCTCATGCAACTCAAACTTGGAGAAATGTCTCATCAGATTAAGAAAGATTCCTTCTTGGAACCTGCAAGTCTCGTACTTCATCTGGTGGAGGATCGAATCAACGGCGTTGAACTTCTTGTGCCTTACGAGATTGTCCAAGAGAACAGAGTACGTGGCGCTGTTGTGGTTGAAGCCTTTTTGATTAGAAGCTTTGTTGAAGACGTCGAGGGCGCGTTGAGGGTCTCTCTCGCGTTTGATGAGATTGATTGCGGATTCGTGGGAGATGAATTGGGGTTTAGGGTTTGTTGGGGGTTGGGGGATTGATGATTCGGGAGGTGGGTTTGGTTTTTTCTTGGGTGTAAGGGAGATTGGAGATATCCATGAGCGGGGAGAGGATGAAAGGCGGCGACTTTTAATGATTATCGGAGTTGGGAGGCGCATTGTAGTGATCAGGAGAACTGAATGTGTAGAAAATTAGGTTAAGAGAGTGATGAGTGAGGACGACGATGATGTGAACCGGTTCGGTTTAAATAAATTTATTAGATCTCGGTACGGTTTGGCAACGGTTAGGCTGAATAAATATTAGATCTCGGTATGGTTCGGTATATACACAACATTATTTGTTGTACCAAAAGCTTGAGGGAATAATCAATCATTCATTATATATATTTAAAATGTTGGATTAATACCAACATAATTCAATCTTTTCTGCACGCTTAACCTTTTTACCTCATTTGTTTAATTGAATATATTTATTTTTGGAAAACAGAAACTTAATCTCAGCTCATTAGATTTCTACATTCATATAAGATTAAGATGTTGGGTCATAATAATGAAATTTTCAGTACTCTAATTATTTATTTGTTACAAATTTAATAGAATAAGTAAAACATAAATAAATAAGTTAGAAATTGGTTTGTACTAGAAATGTATTTTGTCAATAAATATATTTGGATTTAGAAAATCTTAGTATCAACTTTTCCCGTTCTAAAAAGATCCATAAAGTGATACCAAATTTGTATCAATTTCAATTTTGCAGGTATGGATAGATGGATTGGTACTCACTATCTATATTTTTGGTTAGGTATCTGCCAAAAGGATGTACATGGTTAGTAGAAAAAGATATTACTAAGTTTAAATTAAAATCACTGACAAAACAAAAAAAAAACATAAAAAGAAGAAGCATAATCCATAAAGAGTTCAATCAAATAGACGTTTTGAGTCAATGTCATAATTTTTGGAAAACACCTCAGCCACTTGTGTCGGAATAATTTTCACTCATTCAGTAAATTTTATCTTTATCTCTGTAAAGAGTGTATGCTCCTGCAAATAACTATCATCAAGCGTTTTGAAAACTTCATACTCACAATATCCCATGAGGATTTTTCTGTCTATCCGGCCTAGTCTAAGAAGACGTTTATTAATGTCATCAATATGGTTAATTGTGAAGATGACAAGCTTCTCTCCTCCACATGAAGTCCAAACTCCATCGATGGAGTTCAATATTCAGGCCAAAAAAAAGACAATTGTTCTCTCGTTCCCGTTGCAACACCATCATATTTTTCATATTAGAAAAAACAAAACACACAAAAAAGAGAAATTATCTTCTTTGAACGAAAAGACAATAAAACAAAAAAAGAAAGACAAAAACAAGGAAGTTACCTTCTTATCACATCCCAGATCAATTCCATGGCTATCGATATCTTCCAGTAGAAGGATTGATCGATTATCAACACAAGAAACGAGTTTTCTCAATCCAGAATCATCTCCAATCACTCCCAATTGCAGTTCATATATATTAAAACTCAAATAATAAAAATTGTAGTAATTTTTTTTAACGCTAGTTTATAATTTTTAAAATTTGAACTATAGTTTTAGATTACTTTTTTTTACTAAAACAAGATTGGTAATTAAATTAACTGTGAAAAAATAAAACAAATGCAAACACATTATTAATTTTCATCAAAATAAAATTTATTTATATTATGGTATATGCCTTGTCAGAAATAAATTGTATAATTAAAATGATGTTGAAAAATATCATCACATCTTAATTTTCATCAAAATAAAATTTATTTATACTATAATACATTGTATATACATTGTCCGAAATAAATTGTATAATTAAATTGATGTAGAAAAAAAAATACAGCTGACTCAGTCAGATCTGAGGCAACTGAACTCCTATATAAACCGAAAATCAAACTCGCCGACGGTTACTCAATCCCGGTTCCAATAATCCCACGCGTTCTCTGTCCATAACCTCAAAAATGACGAAAACACCCCTCACCGTCGCCCTCCTCTTCTCCCTCCTCATCTCCGCCGTGATCCCTCCTTCCACAGCCGAGATCAAATCCCTCCTCATCTCCTCCGACGCTCGCCCCATGATCCTCTTCGAGAAATTCGGATTCACACACACCGGCCACGTCACGGTCTCCGTCTCCTCCGTCTCCGTCGTCTCCACCTCCCCAGATCCGAACCCGGATCCATCTCGCCTCGGCTTCTTCCTCCTCTCCGAGGAGTCTCTCCTCCAAGTCCTCCTCGAGATCCAGCAGAACGCTAGATTCTGCGTTCTGGACTCGCACTACGTCACGCATCTATTCACGTTCCGAGATCTCTCCCCTCCTCCGAACTCGCGGTTCAACCACTCGTACCCCGTAACTGCTCCCAACGAGTACTCTCTCTTCTTCGCTAACTGCCTCCCGGAAACTAAAATCTCAATGGCGGTTAGAACTGAAATGTATAACAAAGATCCTAACGGATCTAAAGATTATCTGCCAGCTGGATCTACTCAGCTCCCCTCTCTTTACTCGTTTTTTTTCCTATGCTACGTGGCGTTCCTCGGTTACTGGAGCTACACTTGTTATACTAACAAACGAGTAGTTCATAGGATCCATCTCCTCATGGCGGGTCTCCTTTTAATTAAATCGTTAAACCTAATCTGCGCAGCGGAGGATAAACACTACGTGAAGATCACGGGGACGCCTCACGGATGGGATATACTTTTCTACATCTTCCAATTCATAAGAGTGGTGCTTCTCTTCACAGTGATCATCTTGATCGGAACGGGATGGTCGTTCTTGAAACCGTTCTTGCAGGAGAAGGAGAAGAACGTGTTGATGATTGTGATCCCTCTTCAGGTATTAGCCAACATTGCTTCGATTGTGATAGGTGAAACGGGGCCGTTTATTAAAGACTGGGTCACGTGGAACCAAGTGTTCTTGCTTGTTGATATCGTGTGTTGCTGCGCGATTATCTTCCCTATCGTATGGTCGATTCGGGCGTTGAGGGAGACGTCGAAGACCGATGGGAAGGCCGCGAGGAACTTGTCGAAGCTGACGCTGTTTAGGCAGTTTTATATTGTTGTGATTGGGTATTTGTATTTCACGAGGATTGTGGTGTTTGCGTTGAAGACGATCGCGGCGTATAAGTATCAGTGGGTGAGCTTTGCGGCGGAGGAGATTGTGAGTTTGGTGTTTTATGTGATTATGTTTTATATGTTTAGGCCTGAGGAGAAGAATGAGTATTTCGCTGTTGATGATGATGAAGAAGAAGCTGCTGCTATTGCACTTAGAGATGATGAGTTTGAGCTTTGAAATGTCTGAGGCTCTGGAAGAAGCAGAGTATGTTTTATGTTAAATGTCGGCTTATATTGCAACTACTTTTTTTTTTCTTGTCTGTTAAATTTTGTTCTTCTTTATATTGAAACTCCATTTTACAAACGTTCAAACACTTTTTTATAGCTTTAATCGGCGCAAATTCAAGAAATGATTACATGGTATATAGATTGTATAGAATCCCAAAACTCTCAGTGTCAAGCCCATCCAAATCAGCTACTGAACTAGGTAACCATGACCATGGTTCTTGCACCAAAGGGTTTAATTAGGACTACTTCTCCTTCAGTTGGCTCCAGATTTGTTGAGCTGTATGTTAGAAGAAGAGCGCTTAGATGAAGGGCCCTTGTTGTAGGCAGGCATCTAGGTTCGAAATTATATTAAGAAGATCGTCCTATTACGTATTCCCACTGAGTGACAATTGACTCAGAGATAAATGTCAGTAGCTCAATGGAATTCTGTATCAGATATTACTGCAACATCAACCCAGAGGGCTTCTATATAATGCAGAAAGGATACTTTCCAAATATGTGTTCTCAAAAAAAAAAAAGGATACTTTCCAGATACATTTCCATTTCTGGAATGTGCAGAGGCATTGCATATGGAAACTCTGATGAATACGACATTACTGACATCCAAAACGACGCCGTTTAAAATAAATTTGAAATATATAAATCGACACCAAATATAATAAATTAATCTATTTTATGTATTGAAGACCGGTTCGATCGGGTTTAGTAATTCGGCGAGGGATTTTGATTTTCTTAAGACGGCCGTGAAAGGAACTGTGACGGAGAGGTTTGCAATGGGAGGAGGAGGCGTGGAGGAGCTGACGGAAGATGAGAAGAGAGCCTTAAGAGGAAGCAAATTCGCTCCGCTTACTTCTCTTCCCTCCACTTCTCGCTCTCAGCCGCCCAGGTTCCTTTTTTTTCTCACTCCCTTAGGGCTTCTTCTCGATTATTGTAAATTACGACTTATCTGGAATATTATGTATATACAGATTGGCTCATCCAGGTGGACCTTTGAAAACAAACAAGGCAGCGGCTTTAGCCAAGTTTCTAGAAAGGAAGCTGCAAGATCCTAATGGGTTGTCTTCCCTTGATCCTGATCTTATCGAATTAGCCGTCAAAAACGCCCGAGACACCGTTATTTCGAGTGAGTTATTACAAAACACAAAGATTCTTTGTTAAATTACATGTCTGAAAAGATGTGATTTTGGAATTGGAAACGAAAAGGGATTAGCTTCTTAACAAAAAGCTAGATAAGGCTTCTGAAGACCATTTAACTAGCCTGATAGATTTTGCAGTTGATTATAGTCACGGTTTGATAGCTCAGCATTAGCAGAGAGGTGCTCTTGTTAGGTATAGTGCAGGACGGTAGTAGTAACTAGCATTACTGTTCCTGCAAGGAAGTTAAGCTTTGCCAGCTCTCAGTAACAGAGCATTGTTAGTTAGTTAGTTGAGAGCTGAAGGTTTAAAGGGGGAGGTAGAGGAATGAGTTAACTCACTCTACATTAGGCTTAAGAGAGTTTAGGTTGCTTTAGAATTCATGAATAATTTGCCTTAGTTTGTTCTCTGTTCATCTTCTGAAACGCGAATAAAAGGAGAATCATATCTGGTTCTCATCAGCATTCCTAGATTTTCTATCGCATTAGGCTTGAGAGCTAGGGACGAGTTCTTCCGAGATTGTATCTCAGCAAGAAAATTAGTGTGCACACCCAACTCTCTCACCTTGTAGGAAAAGTATGGAAAGTGGACTAATTTGGTAGAAACTATGGATACCATCAAGCATGAGACCTTATAATTCGGTACATCGTTTCAAATAAAGATTATGACTTGCATGTTATCCTTGGTTAAAGAATTTGGAAAGCATACTTAGCGTTCGTTAGACAACAATGTATAGTGACGGTTTGCCAGAAACTAGTTTCACACCATATGTCCATTGTAACTGTGGGCTAAGTTTAGCTCACTTCAAAGTCTAGAATATGTTACTCCTAGATGGTCGGTGAATATAAGTAGCACTAAGACGGAGAGATTTGCTTTTATCCGAGCCCAGTTCATATTAAGAAAAATGCATCGGTTATGTTATTGGGGAATGTATATATGGCCGAATGAGTTTTTGTTAAAGCTCTGGTAAGTATTGAATGTGAAGGCATAGTCATTATGATACTCTACTGGTCTCAGGTGGGGCTTCGAGTTCAGGAAGAAGAATCCAACACGTTGCCTCATTTGAAGACGTCGAGGTACCTGATTCTCTCTACTTTCTTTATTTCTATCTGGATATGGAATAAATTTGTGATAATATGTTCTACTGACCAGTTCTTGCGCCTTCTTCGTCATGTTTTAGGTATCTTCTGATGACGATAAGATAGAGAACACTAAGCTTGCCAAAAAGAAAAAGAAGAAAAACGCAAAGAAGAAAAAAGAAGAGAAAAAGAAGCAGAAAAACAAAAAGCATAAGGTTTATCTTCTTCGCTTGCACCCTTTTTTCTTATCTCATCTTTCTACTTCCTTTTCGTTTTCCCAACACGATTTTATTAAAGTCTATTTACGTTACTTTCTGGATTCCTTCACTGATATCTGCGTGTGGTGAACTTTTATGAAAGCAACAGATCATAGTGGATGAAGATGCGAAGCTGAAGAGACCCAATAAGAAGTTGAAGCTTTAGTGTCCCTTTTTGCTTATACAATACTATTCACATGTTTGACAAAGATGGGTTAACTGGATCGGTTAGTCTAATGGTTTTCATGTAAGACTAGAGTCATGATCTTTCTTCTTTTATCCGTCTTTATTAATTTAAATCTGAGACTGCAGTTGTTTGTGGTTTTTGGAACAAATAGCTTTGTGAATCTGAACTTTATGTTCTTGTTGTTGAAAAAAATGATTGTGTTTTAGCCTTTTAAAATTGTAAGTATGAGACCAGTTCCAGTGAGTAATGATCTGCATAAAGCTCATTGCAGGGCAGTTTACAAAACAGAGATCATGGGTTTAAGTGTGTTTTGTAGTTTTTGTACTACTTTCAAGAGACACAAGAGGAGACACAATAATAATAAAAATGACCTCGCCGACATTTGGTAGATGAGAGAGGATACGAATGTTATGGTCCAGAAGATCTTTAGGAGAATAACAACAATCTTCAAAAGCTGCTCACATGTGGCCATTGGCCAATACCTCTCTCTACCCCCAAGTCAAAACCTTCGAGTTCTATTTTCTTAATTATTTCATAGAAAGAGCTGTTTTATACTTCTCCCCTCCTTCATAAAAACTATACGTATACTTCATTTTTTTTCAAACTAATAACAATGTTGGAGGTTACTAACTTTTTTGTTTTATCTCGTTTTGCATAAAAACACCAATAACTACATCTAATTTAACCACTTAAAAATTATATTGCATAACACAAAATTACAAATGATCACAAACAGCAACGACACTGAATCTTTGCATAACTTTTTTTTTAAAAAAAAATCACTTAATCTAAAATGAAAACAAATTCAAACGGATAGATTAAATTATAATAAATGCCTCATTTGGCGACAAAATAAACAACAAAATTTAACATTTTACCAAAAAAAAAAAAAAATAAAAATAAACAACAAAAATGTCTTCATCTTGATCTTCATTTAACATCAAGATCCGAACATAAATCATACAATCCTCTCACATGTCCTTGTTACGCGGCCTCAATTATTTTGAAGGCAACAAAAACAAAAACGACAATAATAATAAGACGTGATGATATTCAAATGCCCCATATTCATGCATTCAACTTGTTCAATTTGTCACCTAATTTTTTGTATAATGAAGTCTGATACATATAGTTGTTTTAAAACTACCCATGTCTCTTTGAGAAAGAGATCCAATGTTTTTGCTTCTCTTTGTCTCAGCACAGGATCTTATGCTATGATGACCTTTTGTCCTTTGTAATCAAATCATCCATAGCATTAAAGTTTACGGTTCCATTGAAATATCAGAAGTGGACATACTATATCCTCTTTAAGTGTGAAGTGACTTTTAAACGGTTGGTGTTGAGTGCGATTCACACTTTGCGTGAGCGTGTAAGAATATACTTTCCGTAATACTAATACGTTAAGACATCATACCTATACGTTTTTGGAACATTAGTTAAAAGTAATTAGGTGTTTTGCCCGCACATGCGGGCTTAATTTTCTTACGAATATTTATTATTTTTTGTTTTATTAATTATAAAATAATATTATAAGTTATTTTTTATAGTTTTAAAAAACCTAAATCAAACATTAAAATATTTTTATATGAATATATATTTAGATTATGGATAATTCTTATTATTATTATTAATTTAAATCATTTATCTAATCAAATAAGTTTAATTATCTTTAAATCAATTTTTTAAAAAACATCAAAATAAATGATTATTTGCATCCAAAAAATTCGATCTAAAACATTAAACTTTTTTACATGATAAAGTTATTTACAAACTAATTTTTCATTTGAAACTTTGAAGAATTTAAAGTCTATTTCATTTCTTCTTAATTGATAAAAAAAATTTGAAAAATTGATTCGATGAATTTACATTCAAAAATTGATCTTACAGGAAGAATAACATTAGTTTAGATAATAATACAATATATTTGAATTTATTTTTGTCAAACACGTATTTTCTTAAGGTTTAACTATATAAAATATAAATATAAATTTAAGTTAACTTGTGAGTTCAGAGAGGCCAAAAATAACTTCACAGATATATATCATTATATTATATTATTATATTCTTTTAATTTGAAAATAATAAGGTATTATAAATTTTCAATTTTCTTTTTTAAATTATATACAATTAAAAATTTTAATTTCTGAATATTTTTTATGTGTTTTCAGTTTTTGGAATTTTTTTAATTAAAATATATTTTCCGGATAACAACACAATATTTATATAGGAATTATCTTTTTATTTTTAAATATATATTTAGATTATGGATAATCTTATCATTATTATTAATTTAAATCATTTATCTAATCAAATAAGTATTAAATTCGTTTTTATTTTTGGCTGATTTATATATTTTATTCATTAAGGGTATAAACGATATTAACCACTCTAACTTTTAACGTGAGAGCTCCGTTGCGAAAATTCACTTCGCAAATAATAGTATAGAAATTTGAAAATAATTAGGTATTATAAATTTGCAATTTTCTTTTTTAAATTATATACAATTAAAAATTTTAATTTATGAATATTTATTTATGGGTTTTTAGTTTTTGGAATTTTTTTGCTGATTTATATATTTTATTCATTAAGGGTATAAACGATATTAACCACTCAAACTTTTAACGTGAGAGCTCCGTTGCGAAAAATCACTTCGCAAATAATAGTATAGAAATTTT